TAAATAAAGACAATAACAGCAGCAACAAAAATTTAGTAAAGAGTGATGGCAACAACAAAGATTTAGTACGAAGTAGAATAGTTGAGAAATAGAGAATTTTTGAATGAAAAGAGGTAAATAGAAAGATAAATAAAGAATGCCAACCCATTGGTACTAAAATTAATAATATTAGTATAGATAGTTTAATAATAAAGTTTAAAAATGGCAGATAGAAAACCAGAGAAATTAGATGTAGATAGATAAGTAGAGAATTACAAAATGTTAAAAATATCAAATTAAAAACTGAAGGATTACGAATCGACATATATAGTAAAGAATGTCAATATTAGTTGGTAGAAATATTTAATTGTATTTTTTTAACAGATAATTGAAAAGCTTGTTTTTGAATTCAGAGATTGAATTAATAGATTTTAGATCAGAAGGTAGTTTGTTCCATGAGCTAATACATTGATATTTAATGGACTTATTTCCATATTTAGCAGATTGGTGTTTCGGAATAACTAAGTTTAAGGTACTGATGGAGCGAAGAGAATAGTGACAATTTGTAATTGAAAAGAAATTGTTGAATGATAGGGGAAGGTTTTTGTGATGATAATTCCAGACAGATAGGCAGTTGAGGAATACCACAAGGTCGCTTATTTTTCATATTTTAGAGATTAGGTATAGTACATTAGATTTAGAGTTATTATACTGAAAATATATTATTTTCAAGGCTTTATTTTGGAGATGAGACAACCTTAAAATGATTTGTTTATGGGATTTTCCCCATACTTGACATGCATACCTTAGATGGGACCCAAAAATAGCATGATATATATTTAGCAGAGTTTCTAGATTTACCACATGGCGGACTTTGGCTAGCATTCCATTAGATCTGCTGAGTTTCATTGCTAAGTCATTCAGATGGCCTAGAAAAGAAAGATTAGAATCAACTTTAATCCCAAGAAATTTAATAGAGTCTAAAGGATAAATTTTTTGTCCACTTAGTCTGAAATTTAATTGCTTTTTAATTGGTGCCAGATTGGATTTAAAGATGATAATTTTTTTAAATGATTTGTCAACCAGTAGCATGTTAGTATCATCAGCAAAATGGTAAGCAGTTCTAAATTTAAAAAAAGTATTAAAGTCATTAATAAAAAGGAGAAAAAGAAGTGGTCCTAAAACTAAACCTTGAGGGACGCCATTTGAGCAATTCTGTAAATCAGATTTAGTGCTATTAATGGAAACAAGCTGTGTTCTATTTTTGAGATATGAAGTAAACCATTTTAGTGGGATGCCTCTGATTCCGTAGTATTCTAATTTTGTGAAAAGGATGGAGTGATCCACAGTATCAAAAGCTTTCTGCAAATCTACAAACATCCCACATGCAAAGTGTTTATTATCTAGAGCTCTTCTAACCTTCTCAGTAATTTCAATAAGTGCAAGGGTTGTAGAATGTTTGCTTCGAAATCCATATTGATGTTGGTACAAGCATTTAATTTTATCTAGAAACTTGTATAGTCTGTTATGCATAGCCTTCTCAGAAAGTTTGCTTAGGCTGGAAGTAAGGGAAATGGGTCGATAGTTAGAAAAGTCTAGTAAGGAGCCTGCTTTATAAATTGGAATGACTTGAGCTACTTTAAAAACATCAGGGAATTCGCCATTTTTAAAAGAATTATTTATCATAATGCTAAGAGGTTTGGAGATTATTTGAGAGGTAAGTTTAAGAAAAAATGTAGGTATGCTGTTAGGTCCATAACTTTTATCATTTTTAAGAGCATTATTAATAAGACTAGATACCTCATCTTCATTAACAGGATCTATAAAGATAGAATTAGCATTAGGAAAATTAACAAAGTCACTATAAGTTTATTCTGATGGCATAATATTATTGAGTAGTTTTTCACGAATAGAGACAAAGTAGTTATTAAATATATTTGAAACAGTGGCTTGGTCTTTTCATTCAGATTTAACTGAGTAGGTGTTTTATGTAATGATCCTTTAATATTTATGATATCTTTTATGCCTTTCCGTGTATTTTTTATGTTGTTTATGTTGTTATTAAAATAAGTTATGTAGTATGATTTTTTACTACTTTTTAACAAGTTGCTAATTTTATTTCTATAGAATTTAAATTTTGTGAAAAGCTCATTTTTAGTATTAATGTTTTTACATCTTACAAATTTTTTATAAAGTTTATTTTTTACAGAGATTTAAGTAAGCCTTTAGAGATCCAGGGTTTAGATTTAAGTTTGATTTGATTTTTAGTCAAAGTTTTATAGGGGGCGCATTGGTCTAGAACCCTATTAAATGATTTACAAGAAAAAACATTTCCTTGGTAATTACTGATTATCAAATACTTCAAATCAATTATGGTTGAAAATGAGCTTCTAAAATATTGTAAAGATTTATATGACTGTACAAATACTGCAATATTTGTTGAAAAATAATCCAATTGAGTTATAACCAAATTTCGTTACTGCGCGTAAAATTATACTAACTTTACCAATTACAGTCGCTTTAGCAGAGAGATCTTTTTCAAGATTAAAGTTAGTTAAAAAAATATTTGAGGTCTACCATAAGCCAAGAAAGATTTCACTTCATTAATAATTTTGTCTATAGAATCAGAAAAAGCCAAAAAACTAAGTTAAATGATATCATTTCCGAAATTTGCGAGCACTCAAGGAGATAAATTTGGAATTCTTTGTATTAAATATATCTATATTTTTTTAATATAGTTCTATTTTTTGTTATTTGATTTATTAAAGAATATTTTGTTGACTGAAATGTTAGTTTATTTATTTATAATATTTTTAGTGACTTATAATTATATTATTTTAATTGTCATTGTTCAACGTGTACTAAAATATAGTGCACATGTAAATAATATGTATAAAAAACCATATATTGTACATTTATGTACTATTTTAATATTAAAGCTTCGCATGGTTATCCTGCACCGGGCCCCGCATTTGTTTGGGCCGGTCTGGTATTCATACGATTTATTTTTTTGTAAATATTAATATACAGCATAAAAATAAATAAATAAGAGAGAGACCAAGGAGGTATAATATATCAAGGAGATATAATATATAATCCTGCGGCTTATCAATAAGTTGGAAGTATAATACCAAGGAGGTATAATATATAATCCTTCAGCTTATTAATAAGCTGGAAGTATAATACCAAGGAGGTATAATACATAATCCTCCAGCTTATTAATAAGCTGGAAGAAGAACGAAACCAAAAATCGTTTAAAACTGTGGTACATTACTGTACCACAGATCACCGTAAAGGTATTCGCTGGAACTCAACGTTTAGCTATAGGTTTGTTACGTTCTTAAATAATATTTAAAATATAAATAATTTGAAATAAATATAAAAAATATTTTCCAGCAAGAACTATATCTCTTCAGGATTTTATTTTGTGTTGTAGTATTTTTACTACAACACAAAAAAAAAAATCCTGAAGACATTGGATTTAAAAAAAACTAGCTATATTATAAGTAGTATTATTAAAATACCTTTTTGTAAATCAAGCAAAAATACTACTAATTCTTATCTAGAAATTTATTAATTTAATTCTAACCTAGAAATTTATTGTTAATTCTTTCAAAGAGCACAACAACAAAAATTACAATAAACTAGCTTTCAATATTATTTCCAAAATTTTCTTAACTTTTATCTTTAATTTGCAGTGCTTTGGTTGTACTTTTGAAACAATATTAGGTTGTTTCTAAACGTAATATGATTGTTTAACTTTAAATTACGATAACTACACAGTATTTAATTTAAAATTATGTTACTGTAAAGACTGTTTCTTGAAAATGACGTGTTTTTACTTCACCTATACATAATAAATCTTTGGAGAGACTATGAATCTTGATTTGAAATTCTCAATTTGAAATTCAAAACAATATTTATTTGCTGAGATTTTTAAAGTAAAATTTCATATTAAACCAAATTTATGAATGATGTTTTAAATTTTTTTGAAACAAACCGAAGATACGAAGCAAACCTATGATATAAAAAAACCACGTTTGTACCAACGAAAAACCAATATTCGTCAACAAAATATGGGTTGGCATCTCTGTCGTACTAGAGCCTAAAATTTAGAAGCTTGTCCAAAGGAATGCAAAATTTCTTCAAATTTAATGAAATTCAATTAGAAAATAAAAAAACTCAATGATATTAACTCAATGTCGATACAATCTAAGCGTGATTTTTGTTAAAGATATATTAATATAATAGATTAAAAAATTAAATTAACATTTTGGTTAGTTTAATTTAATTTATTTGCTGTTTGTTTTGAGTTATACATTCATTATTTACTTTACATTATATATATAAAACAATATATTATTTTGAAGGATCAGTTGAAGTATCAGTTGTATCAAGAAGGATCAGTTGTATCAAGAAGTATCAGTTGTATTAAGAAGGATCAGTTGATTTAAATGAGCTGATTATAGATTTTTGCATCAATTATGTGTCAACTATAAAAAAATCATATAGAATTAGATAAAATAATTAAAACGCACAACTAAATTAAGTTTAAAAAAATAGTAATAATAAAAGGTAAAAGCTTCTATATTAATCTGCGTTTTTGCTGTCACCAGGGCCGTGACGAAGAGAAGGGGGCGGGGAAGGAGGGGGTGGAGGGGGGAGGGTTGACGTGTCTGTTTATTTGCCGACTAAAGCTCGAAAAAAATTTTTTGTCCACTAACTTCTCGATGCAGTCAAGTCAATTTTAAAATATTATAGCATCAATATGATATTTTGTTGACTATCGACGTGCTACACCGAGTCACCCCCTACACTCCCCCCTCCCTCGGACGGCACTGTTAAATCACTACACAAATTCTTAACGCCTAAAGTGAATTAAATTTAAATTCTTATTTTTTGTACATGTATCTCGAAAGAATAGCCAGAGCAGGAGTTAGTTTTTTAAAAACATGATTCAAAATTTATATTCACATAGTTTAATCCCCCCCCCCCTGCTTTTCTCTGATTTGCTATTATCTCGTGTGGTCCGACACTTTTAAGACAAATGGTGACGCATAGTTTTTGAAAAAATATGACAAAAATTAAAATGTTATTAAGAAGTGTGTTAAAAAACTGGTTCCTTATTGGAATTGTTGTATTTATTTTTGTGGCTCACCAGATGCCATGGATTGGAGTGAACAATGGGCCACTGTATCCACAATTTACAATTAAATATCTAGCTGTAATTGTTATATTTTTTAATAGCGGATTGTCTTTAAGACCCGATGATCTAAGTTCTGCATTCTTTAGTTGCAAAATACATTTGTTGATTCAACTATTTACCTTTTTTTTTATACCAGTATTTATATATTTAATTGTTGAGTTTTTAAAATCAATAACAAACGTAAACGAGTATCTTCTACGAGGGATTCTTGTTGTCAGCTGCATGCCACCTCCAGTTTCATCAGCAGTTATTATCACAAAGTCTATTGGAGGAAATGAAGCAAACGCTGTATTCAATTCTGCACTTGGAAGTTTTCTTGGTATATTTATAACTCCTGTAACTCTCTTTGGATTTGTAGGAGTCTCTGGGTCAATTCCAATAATGCAAATTGTTACACAGCTAACTATTACTGTTGTTATTCCTCTTATACTTGGTCAAGTGGTTAGAAGTTATGTTAAAAATTGGCTTGAAAGAAAAAAGCCCCCTTTGAGTGGAATTGGAAGTTTTATGTTGTTGCTTATTATTTTTGGAGCATTTTGTGACACATTTTCGAGCAATATGGATGGACTTGGCTTTTCAGATCTATTATTTGTGATAATGTTTATTTTAGTTATGCAGTTATTATTGCTTCGTGTGATATTTGTTTTAAGCACAAAGTTGAATTTTTCAAAAGAAAATGTTGTTGCTGTCATGTTTTGTTCAACTCATAAATCTTTAACGCTTGGAATTCCTATTTTAAAAATAATTTATATGAATGATCCTTTCCTTCCATTTCTTTGCATACCGCTTTTGATTTACCATCCATCTCAAATTTTATTAGGAGGTTTTTTAGTTCCTCATGTTAAAAGTTGGCTATATGGGAAAAGACGTAGTTTTGCACGTGGTGTTTAATTCTATAAAGTTTTTATAGAAAAGTTAGTATTTGAAGTTTGTTTAATAGAAATTTAAATTATTTATATTGTTTGGCAAGTGAACAAATTAGTTGCAATTTTTTAAACCCTATTTAGATGTATTAGTTAAGCAGCCTTTTCTGTCAAGATTTATTTTTTGGACTTTATTTATTGAATAAACTTTTAAGTTTGAAATTATAAATAAACAAAAAGAAATGTTTTATCACAAATAAACATTAAATTTACTTTCTCATTCACTTTAATTCCTTGTCAAGTAGCCCAGCCTAATAGATACAGTTATGTTGATTAACTTTGCATACAGTTATGTATGCATAGTTAATCGGATACAGTTATGCTTAGCATAACTTTTTTTCATCAATTTATGTTTTTATTTTATTTAATTAAACAACTCCTTAATTAATCCACCTGACAGGTTAGGCCATCATGCAAGAGCAGTTCAGTTTTAAAAAATCGTTAGCTTATTTATTTTTGTTTTGACTTTTTAAAATTCTGTCTGAATTTTTAAAATTTAAACAAACTAAAATTTTGATTTGTTTAAATTTTAAGTGCTCTAAATGCATTTTTAACTACCATTTCTAAGTATAAAATTATTTTAAGATAAAAAGTTTATCCCATATTTAAGTAGTTTTAATTGTTTTAGGTAATTTTTATCTTAAAAAATTGTTAAAAATTTAGAATTCAAAAATATTAAATATGAAAATATAAAATTTAAAACAATTTCTCAAAAACAAAAGTTGGGTCGAAAAAAGAGTTTGCCGCACGCATAAGGTAAAAAGCATCATAATTAAATATCTGAGAAAAATGTCTAAAATGTTTTTGTGTTAGCGCAATCTAGTCTACCCGTACCCCTTAATTTAGGGGGTGGGGAAGAGGACAGAAAATTTTGTGCCCTTTTGCTAATTTAAGGAGCGTTTTATTTTAGCAAAACCTAGCGGTAAAATTTGGGAGATTGTGAGACTTAAATGACACGTTTTTTTAGGGGGGCTTCCTAACCATTTTTTTTTTTTTTAATGTTGATTTTAGGTGCCCCAAGAAGTCCTTACGGTCTTATCACAGAGCACCGCGGAAGAGCATTTAATAAGAAGTTCACGCCTCCTTCCCAACCGATGTCGCAAAATTTTCCCAGGGTGGGGTTTGAACCACGGATCTTACGTTCCTAAGGCAAGTGCGCCACGACTGCTTTAAATTAGCCACACCAGCAAACACAAAGTTGAGGGTTGCGTTGGCCCAACATCGACTCCCAACGTTGTTTTTATATCATTTCGGTTACAAATAAGACGTCGCCAACATCTAAAAATAATGTTGGTTTGACGTTGTATTTTAAGTCGCCGTTGCGTAATGTTTTACGTTGATTTAACGTTATATTTTACGTTGGTAAAACGTTCTATTTTAAGTTGATTCAACGTTATATTTTACGTTTGCACAACTTTATATTTACATTTTATCGGAATTTAATTAATTTGTTTTATGTTAAGGTGGTTATCAGGTAAAAAAATTATTTTTTGATTGCCAACTTAATCATATACCAAAGTTAGTTTAAAAGAAACATACTTATTAATATAATTAAAAATGATAAAAAAAAAATAATTTCCTTTTTTTTTTTGCTGAATCAGCATAAAATGCAAAAAAATCAATGAAAAAAGAAAACAACATTTTCTCAGCCTCTTTATGACATTATAAGCCAAAACTTACAACACTGATAGATTATAGTGTATTAAACAAAAGCTTACTAGAAAAACTAAAAATAATTATTATTTTTAAAATGGCAGCTTTTTCAATTTTAACGGAAATTATTGATACAAAAAAAAAAGGTAAAATATGAATATATTCAAATGGAAACAAGCTTAAGATTAGTTCTAGTAAGCTATTGCAGTTCTATCTATAAAGAAACAACCCTGAAAATTTGAACTCAATTGCATATCTGGTTAAAAAGATATGAATGATTCGCTTATTGCAGTCAGGCAAAAACAAACAATTGAGAAATCAAGCTTCAAAGTTTAAAAACAATTTATTAATTAAAAATTTCCTGTAATATAAGAGTCTACTCCCTCTTTTTCTTTCTCCTTATCAATATAACCCTTCCTGATACATCTCCTTTTCCTTCTAGCCCTTTTTTGCTTTGGAGTTGAATTTTTAATCGTGTTCTTTACTCTTGATACGTCCTTCTTCCACGATCCTTGGATCATAAAACTTCCAGGCAAGAGCTGCAAATAATCAAAAATTCTTGTGAAACCTCTCAAACCATCATTGTAATTTATTACAGCTGAAGCAACACCAAGATCTAGTACCTTTTTAGTAACAAAAATATTTTTTGGACACTTTTTCCAGATTATCTGGTTGAAAGCCTCATTTGGATTTTGTGTTGCGCCATCCAGGCAACTTTAAACTTTTTTCTTTCTGCTTAACAAATAACATCAAAACATACGGCTTTGCTAAAAATAACTCTGGTTCAAAAGTTTAGTTAATTATACAGACCCATGAAAAGAAATAATTGTTTAAATCTAGGTCTTTGGGTAATATATCTATAAAAAATTATTGGTTGCTATGCGGTTGTTAAGTAAATTTTTTTTACTCTTACCAACTAAAACAATTTTTTTACATTTTTTTATTAATTAACCCATATCATGTTATATATGGTTAAAAAGCCAATTAAATTTTAAACAAAGTTGGCTGATAAACTAAAAAACACATTTTTTCACAAAAATCGCTATTTTTTTACCTGATAACCACCTTAAGTATATACACATATTAATATTTACAAAAATGTATAATATTAAAATATTATACATTTTTGCGCATATATTGTATACATACATACATATTTCCGCTAAAAATAACTTTTTTTTTTCATTCATCTTGGTTGTTTCTTTAAGTTTGATATACAGTCTAGAAATTTCTTTATTTTCTTTTAAAATCTTTTGTTTTTCAATTTTTCTCTTTTCAAAAGCTACCTTGCAGCACTATCCTCAAGCTTTGCATTATAAGCCTCCTCTGAGGTAAGTAGAAAAAACTTTATTCAGAGTTTTTTGATTTATTTTTAATGTTTAATTTGAGGAGAAGGATATGCAAGAACATCTAAATCTTTGTCTAATGGACAAAATGAATTAGTAAATGGTAATGAAAGGTCTGTTAATGTTTTGCTCGAATGATTCGAATGATGAAAAAAAAACTATTTTTTCATCATTCGAATAAAATGTTGATTCAGTTACTTCTATTTCTTCAAGACTTGTTTCTGTATCAATATTTAAATTGATACTTGAACAGAAAAATCAATAAACTGATTGTCTTGTACTGGTTTCATTTTTGCATAGCTGTGTTCTGTAACAATATTTGAATATTTCACAGTATTGCCTTAAATGTAAAAATCAATTAAGTCATTTTCTTCTACTGGTTTGGTTAAAGATAGTGAGTTGATTATATAGCCACCAGCAAATTTAGCTAACAAAATTGTACCTACCATTGATTTATTCAAAACCTATTTAAATTCTGCCAATAATAATTTATTATGTGACAGTGAATTAATGTTAAAAGAAATTGAGGAGGCTTTCTCATCTTTAAAAATGAACAAATCGCTGGGTTTTGATGAAATATCCAGCAATATAGTAATTTTAAATAAAAAACCTCTGTTTCTTATTATGAAAATTTCAATAAATGAAGGTGTATTTCCTGATACATTAAAAGTAGCTAAAGTGTACCCAATCTATAAAGGCAATGATAGTTCTAATATCTCAAGTTATAGGCCTATATCCGTATTATCTTTTTTTTCCAAAGTATTCGAACGCGTTATGTATAACAGAACTTATTTCCATTTCACAAAAAACAATTTCTTTTACTCTAAACAGTTTAGGTTTTAAAACAATATTTCAACAGAGCATGCCATTATTGAATTAGTTGACAAAACAACTAACCGTTTTGAAAAAAATAAGTTTACACTAGGAATTTTTATAGATCTGTCAAAAGCATTTGACACAGTAGACCAATCTATACTCTTAGAAAAAATAAATTATTATTGTGTAAAAACAAAACATTTTCTTGGACAAAAAGCTATTTTACTGACCGAAAACAATATGTGATAAATCCGGATTCTTGTACATTAAATATTCTGTGTGGAGTACTACAAGATTCAATTCTCGGCGCTCTTCTTTTTTTAATTTATGTAAACGACTTCAATAATGTATCTGTAAATTTAAATTCAATTATGTATGCTGATTATACTAACTTGTTTATGTCCAATAGTGATTTTATTCAGCTATATGGTGAAATGAATATTGAGCTGTTAAAAGTATAATAATAAAAATAAATGGTTCAAAGCTAATAAACTCTCAATAAACGTAGACAAAACTCAATACACATTATTTTATTAAAAAACGCACGAAGAAAACCTGCCACTTAAATTACCATTTTTTTCTAAAAATATTATACAAGTTAAAAAACAAAAATGTTTAAAGTACCTAGGAGTCTATGTAGATGACAACTTATCTTGGCTTTCCCACATAAAATACATTGAATCAAAAATTTAAAAAACTATTGGTATAATGTATAGAGTTAGTCTTTTAATTAATACTCAAAGTCTTAAATTAATATATTTCAGCCTAATTCATAGCTATATTAACTATTGTAACATTGCGTGGGCAAGCACACAACTCTCTAAACTTAAAAGGATATTTAGTGTACAATAAGATGCTTGCAGAATTATGAAGGAAAAAACAAATTTGAGGATGCAAAGCCATTAATGAGGGAAATGAAGATGATGAATTTATACGAGATAAATACATTTCAACACATGATCTTTATGTATTATTATTTAAAAATTTCACACCAAAAAACATTGAAAAAAAATTTAAGATGAATCAAAACAATAACTATTTTCTGAGATTAAACGAGAGGCTCACACTACCTCGAGGCTCACTTTAACTTCACTTATAACACTTATAACTCACACTACCTCGTAAACTAACCAAATACAAAGAATATAGTATAACTTATCGAGGGCCTAAGATATGGAACAGTTTTAAAATAACTACATCAATGTGGTGAAAATAGTAAATTCATTTAAAAAATGAAATTTTGAAATCAAATGACAGCTTTGAAACTTAACATTTTTAATATACACTATCATTTTTTAACCTAATTTTTTCATATATTCTAAAGAATTTATTTCTCTTCATGTCTTTTTTTGTTTCATCTTTTTTCTCTTCATGTCTTTTTTTATT